TTTTTTTTAATGGGGGAAAATCATCGAATGACTGCTCCCGCCTGGGTGAGGCGGAAGGGACTGACTAAAAACCACCCCGTTCCTTCTCCTGCACGTCGAGCCGGAGCCCCGGTTACCCGTTAGGTTCTCCGCGACATTTTGAAAAGCATAGCGGTCCTTATTTTTGAATATCGAATATTTCACTTATCTCTACTGAAACCTTAGTACGAGTTTAATTTACGTTTAAAGTATTTGAAACGAGTACGCGAACGGCACTGTGATTGGTTGGTGTCAATGAACCAACCAATCAAAACGCCGAACGCGTTCTCATTTCGGTCTATTAGGAAAAAATATTATATTTCACAAAACCATTTATATTTATAGATTCATTGTATTTTGGTGTTAGACAGTCATAAAATAATATCCTATTATCACGTAACAAATAATTTCAGTATTTATGGGATAAATTTGTTCACGTTCAATTCCTTAAAATGCCGGTAACGCGCTTGTAACGCCTCTGGTATTCCAAGTGTCCATGGGTGACGCCGTTTGCTTACCATCAGGTGATCCGTCTGCTCGTTTACCGACTTATCGCATAAAAACGTAACTGATTATTTTTACTGCCTTCTTGGCATCCGGGACGTCGTGAAAAGTGGGTTTCACATTCAACATGTTCACGTCTGTCTGTTTACCTCCTCGGGGTTACAAAGCTCTAATGCTTTCCCCTCTAATGGACACACCCAACCAGAGGAGTCACAAGAGCATTCGACCTTTGGGGGTTAAAGAACTTAAGCTGGGATTGCGAGGGATTTGGCCTTCGATTGGGGTATTTTTTAAGGCCGTGGTGTATCTTCAGTCGAGTCATGGCTCTCCCATTGTTAAATGTGTTATTTTCTGATGTATACATATATTTTGATTTTATTGTCACTCCCATTGACCACACGTTGAAAATATCTTCGTAATTAAAGGTTACCGAAACGCCTAGGTGAACGAAACCGCGGGCAACAGCTAGTTCAAAGCTCGCACATTTAAACTCCCGTGTATTCTCAAATATCTAGTGAACTTTATACTCTCCGACTTTTCTATGTATTAGCAACAGTGAAAACTGTACGACCCGATTTTGTTGGATAGAAGAGTAAATATAGGTTTATTATATTTTATTTTTAATAATGAGAATATGATAGACGTGACATAGGAGAATAATTAAGAAAATAAGGTAATTAAGGCTTGTACCTTCTTTAGTAGATTCGTAATATTTGAAACGTAGGAGTCGTCTCGTATTCTTTGAGAGGGATCGAAATATGTAACTATGTTCGCAAGTATATGCCTAGAAAATCAATACCAGACAGCGTTGTATGTATGGAATAGTTGTGAAGATGTATACCTGGTTTGTTTATCATAAGCGTTGGGTAAAGTGAAGATTTGAGTTTTTACTTTTTCTTCGAAAATCCTCGTTTTTGCATTGAGAACAGGTGCAAACGGTGATTGACGAGTGAGGAATCATGGGATTGATTCGATCGGCTAAAGTATTTAGGTTTTTGGACGATTTTGCTAGACATTTTGGTAGCACTAACACATCAACTTATATGTGGCCTTTGCTGACCAATCGCCTCTTCTCGTACGGAAAAGGCTTGAGCATTAATCCACGCTCGGTCAATATAGTACATAACATAACGCCTTTTTATCCCCGAACGGGTAGGCAGAGGTACACATTATACGGCACTTAATGCTACTGTATAATATAACACCCACCTTTACTATTTATGTTACTAGTCCCATGTAATAGGGGGTGAGCTTATTGCCATATACCGGGCACAATTCCACACTCCGTGCTACCACTGAGATTTTTTTTTAGAAAACCTTTTAATATTTTGTCCGACTCAGTAATCGAATCCGAGACCCCTTGCCCGGCGACCACTCGGCCAACGAAGCAGATAAAATAATTATAAATTGTATTATAAGTCCAGCTGTGTTCACGAGGTTTTTCTTTCGTTTATCAGAGGTGTTTAAATAATTATAGAAAGTCCTTATAGCTCAGAAACAGTCATATTGGTTACTACTTGCCGTTGGTAGGTTTTAAACCCGAAGCCTCATGCATGAAAAGCGTCTCATAATCTCATCGCACACCTAACAAGTACGGCTCCCACCCATTAATGTCATTGTCATCTAAGGTAAATATGAACAATAATAAATATGAAAAAGTTGGAATATGTGGGATCTATGTACTTTGTTTTTATATATTTGACTGCATGGTTGGTATGGTGGCTGGGCAACCGGCTGCCGTGCAACGTGTCGCGGGTTCGATTCCCGCACGGAACAACACTTTGTGTGATCCACAAATTGTTGTTCTGGGTCTGGGTGTCATGTGTATGTGAACTTGTATGTTTGTAAACGCACCCACGACACAGGAGAAAATCCTAGTGTGGGGCCGTTTTTTTAAAATAAAAAATAAATAAATAAAATATAATAACTAGCTTCTGCCCGCAACTTCGTACGCGCAATCTCGTTTTCCCCCGTTCCCATAAGATTTTCAGGATTTTTTTTCTATCATAAGAACCTTCTCCTGACAATAACAAACACCACAAAAAAATCAGCCAAATCAGTCCAGCCATTCTGAAGTTATGGCGTGACAACGGGAAACGGGTTTCATTTCATTATATACATATGTATATAGATATGACTGTGTTGTCTTTTGTGTTGTATGCGTTTAAATCTATACATAATAATAATAAAATCGTAGGAAGGTCAAAATTGTACATTGAATATTTTTTAAAAAGAACACTTGAGGCGTAATCTACAATCGATACCAAAACAAAAAATAGTTTTTAGAATTTTTGTCTGTTTGTCTGTATGTATGTCCGGGCTAAACTCAAAGAGGACTGCATGGATTTACTGCAAATTTAGCATGAATATTAATTACTAACAGGTCGGGTCAACATATAGGCTACATATTACCACGCTATTATCTACGGGCTGTGAATCGCAATTCCACGCGAACGAAGTCGCGGACAACAGGTAGTAAAGACGTATCATACGACATACAATTTAAAGTTTATTTATTAAACTTTAAATCGTATGTCGTATGATATATTTCATAACGTCAATACGAAAAAGCGGTAGACGCGCGCCCGGGCGCCACCTTCAATAACCTTCTTGTAATTTTTCCAAAGTAAAAAACACCGTTTGGAGCTCGACCGAAGCCGTGCTTGAGCTGGCTGGAGTCGTGCTCGTGGACTGTGAATCTCCGAGTCACCGTGAAACTTCTCGGTAGCTTCTAGTCTTTATGGTAGTTGTCTAACTGGCAACGATGAACGAGTAACGAGTAGAACTAGAATTGGAAACGAGTTGGCGACCCGAGCGAGTGTGCATAGTTCCAATACTTGCTCTTGTGAATGCTCGCCGGCAGTACGTAGACACGAGTAGCGGCTAGCTCAAGCGTCCGCATATACCAGCGTTCGAGTGAACGGGGTCCATCCAACCCAAATTGTCGTGGAGAACCTAACGGGTTACCGGGGCTCCGGCACGACGTGCAGGAGAAGGAACGGGGTGGTTTTTAGTCAGTAAGAGTCCGACACTCCCTCCTGCCTCCCCTAGGCGGGAGCAGTCATTCGAAGATTTTCCCCCCTTAAAAAAAAAGCCAACCCAAATTCGTACCTACTATGATAACCCGACTTTGATTGCTTTCGTTGGTAATAACGAGTTTATGTAATGGGAACAACCATTAAATAGACAAAGGAACACCTAAATGACAAAGTAGTAGTTTTGGTAAGAAAATCACTTTACGAATTAATAACATTAAAATAGGTTCTAGTTTTGATGGGTTTTGTATTCCAATACTATTGTTTATGATTTTTGTAAGTTTCTTTTGCAAAATGCATAGATGTAATAATAACGTAGATGTCAGACTATTGTCTACGGGTAGAATTTAAGATCCATCTCGACGGTAAATTCATAAACATACTGTTGTTTCTTTTTTACTTATGTCTCTTTGCCTAAGCAGAATGAGACAACACGTCATTGTCATATTTGTCACTCTGGCATTAATTTTGTCACGTCAACAAAAATACCTTGTGCACTCGTGCCGAATTGGCCATCTCAGTTACTGTTATCAGTGGATGATAATAGTACATCAGTTGTCAAACCCATGGTTTATAATTTTTGTTACGAAAATTTCGTAGAATTCCTGTTGTGAAATTAACGGCTAGTGAGAACAAATTTGAAGATTAATATTTTAACATTGAATATAGTAAAACTGCGTTGTAGGGCCCTACCGCTACAATCTCTATTGGTAAATCATAATCGATACATCAATTAAAACGAATACCGAAAAAAAACCTGCTCGGTTGGTGCGGTGGCTGGGCAACCGGCTGCCGTGCAACGTGTCGCGGATTCGATACCCGCACGGAACAACACTTTATGTGATCCACAAATTGTTGTTTCGGGTCTGGGTGTGTATGTGAACTTGTATGTTTGTAAACGCACCCACGACTCAGGAGATAATCCTAGTGTGGAGCAACGTTTTTTTAAAAAGAAAGAAAAAAAAGATAGAACATATCGGTACTTCTACTGTTTCAGAAGTCACATCCCTAGTTCTATCCGCCATTACGGAATATAACAAGTGAAGTTTAGGTAGGCACGTTTTTTTCGTAAGTATTTCATATCTTTACCTTTATCATATCAATGGTAGAATGACACTCAATGTCTGTCTATGGTCTGTCTTCATCAGACAGTTGCTCATCTATTCCAGTTGTAGTCTATGGTTTTTCATGTTAATGTCATGTTGATGTTGAAGTTTTGCTTTTGACTTTTGTGTTCTTGTTTTCCTTCCATCAGAGTTGATCAGAGTTAAAAATAAAAGGTATGTGTAAGTTTTAAGAGTTCATTATTTTCTTTAATACTTACAGAAATATTGTTACTAGTTGGTAGTTTGAAAATAAGTAAATTGATTGAGAGTTTTAATGGAATAAGTGGCCAGGTGTTGATTGGTTGTGACCTTATTTTTAATAGGTAGGCAGTGAGATATGTCGTCACCACGCCCGAAATCCCCTCGGACTCCTGTATTGCCTAAAAAGGAAGATAAAGAAGAATCATTTTGGGACAAAATTGGCACCATAGGACGTAAAAAGCGCATAAAAGAAGGTAAATGTTTTGGTGTTGTTATGAAATCTTACAAATTCTCAATAAAAAGTCATTGTGTGGGCTTTTAATGTTGTAACTTACTTCTTTGTACTATTAAATAGGAAAAGTATATTAAAACATATTTTTGTCACTTCATTTTAATATTCAAAGTTAAATAACAAAATCATAAAAATAGAAATAATAGGTAGGTAATGTTCATAAACAAATATATTTTCATGTTTCATACAGTACCTATTATTATATTACAAGTGGTATATTATTAGTCATGTTTAACTACCTTTATTAACATTAATTATTGTGTTTTGTGTACACAGTGCAAGATGTACAGGCTGAGGGAAAATATGCAATTGATTCTCCAGGGAGTCCAACTGCTCCGGAGATACCACCTGAAGAATACAGTTTACGTAAGTAGCATGAGCAATATTGAGATTATTACATTAAAATTACCTGTTTGTTCAAACATTATTATGATCTTACTATAAATAGATACTATGACTCATGCAACAGAAAGGAAGCTTACATCTACCATGACTCTCATACATGTTATAGTAACAATAAAGTTTCTTTTTTAAAACTTAAATTTTTTGTGCTACATAGAACATTAAGTATATATGACTCACATAGGCGTGTCTCCTTTAGTTTTTCCTGAAAAGCTAGCAATACAACAAACAGGAAAAGTAGTGTTTGTTAACACAACACATATATGTTTATATCTGTTTTACTTGTATTGTTAATTATATTCATATCTTTATAAATAAAAATTACTTTCTGTTTGTTAGCCTCGCTAAATCTCGAGAACGGCTAAACCGATTTGGTTAATTTTGGTCTTAAAATGTTTGTCTAAGTCTAGGGAAGGTTTAAATTATGAGAGAAAAATAAATTGAGGCAGTACAAAGTTTGCCAGGTCAACTATTATATAATAATATATTGTATATAATTAACTTCCCTGTAATGTTTTGCAGATGACAATGAAGAAAGAGCTATAATAGAGCCGAGGTCACTTGAAGACCCAAGAGTCAAAGAACTTATTCAAGTACTTATTGATTGGATTAATGATGAACTTGCCACCCAGAGAATTATAGTCAAGGATATAAGTGAAGATTTATATGATGGCCAAGTACTTCAAAAGCTCCTGGAGATGTTGACAAAGACTAAACTGGATGTGCCTGAGGTAACGCAGTCTGAAGAGGGACAAAGACAGAAGTTGGCTGTTGTACTCAGAGCAGTGAATCGGGTATGAAGCATTGTCATTTAGTATTTTAACTCCTCTTGCTAAATACTTCACTTTCAAATATCTTTCTTATATCTTTCCAGGTTCTCTATGGAACAGCTAAACCTGTGCCCAAGTGGAGTGTGGATTCCATTCACTCGAAGAATGTTGTATCCATATTGCATTTGCTTGTTGCACTGGCTCGTCACTACCGAGCTCCAGTACGTCTGCCTGAAAATGTGAGCGTTAATGTTGTGGTTGTGAAGAAGGACACGCCAAATCAACTATCCCACAGGTAAACTATACACGCTACTAACGAATGTAACCTTAGATGAACTATAAAACTGTTTATGCAGAAATATTATGCATCCGGGTTTAATTTATCAAAATGATTTTCAGGACATTTATTGAAACTATCACAACGACGTATGATGACCTGGGTATGAAATGTGAAAGGGATGCATTTGATGCACTGTTTGATCATGCACCTGACAAGTTGCAGGTGGTGAAGAAGTCACTCATTACTTTTGTAAACAAACATTTGAGCAAAGTCAATCTTGAAGTGATGGACTTGGACACCCAGTTTCATGATGGTGTATACCTGTGCCTTCTGATGGGCCTGCTGGAAGGGTTCTTTGTGCCTTTGTATGATTTCCATCTGATTCCAGAGGATTTCGACCAAAAAGTCCATAATGTCTCCTTTGCCTTTGAACTCATGCAAGATGTTGGACTTGCCAAACCTAAGGCAAGGCCTGAAGGTAATAAAAGTTCTTATTTACTGAGTCATGGAAATTGTTATTGTTTTTTATTTACAACCATATTGTTTTCTTTCCAGATATTGTGAATCTCGACCTTAAATCTACTCTTCGGGTGCTGTATAACCTGTTCACAAAGTACAAGAGTCTAGCCTGAGGAAAATCATATTTGATTATAAAACTTATTAACAATTCGTGTTCGTGCCTGATTATAGATTAATAACTATATTAATGATAGAATGTTATCAACGGTGCTTTATCTGAACTAAGTATCTTAACTAAGTATACAGAAATAAATTAATTTACTAACAACAATATACTTTCTCATTTATTCCTATTCGCTTGAGTGTTAAATATTGAGAAACTAAAGTGTTATTAAATGATTATATCACTATAGTATAAAACAAAGTCGCTATCCGCCGTCTGTCTGTCCCTATGTATGCTTAGATCTTTAAAACTACGCAACGGATTTTGATGCGGTTTTTTTAATAGATAGTGATTCTTAAGGAACGTTTATATGTATAATACATGCATAATATAGTAGAGAAACACTGATAAATTTTTAAGGTTTTTATTTGCACCCGTGCGAAGCCGGGCCAAGTTACAGATATTTAAATATTATATCTTTAGTGAATGTAGGTGCACTATTTTGATAGAAAACAAAAATACACCTATTTCGTAAGGCTAAATATTAGTATTTTAGCTTTCATCATCAAGTCAACTCAGGTTTTTCACTGCTAGCTATTTTTGCTTTGCAAACTTATATTACACTGAACTAGTCTTTTGCGACGTTACTACGCTTTGCGCCACACGAGGATTTCAATGAAAGAAAACTGCGATGAATGAGTCTTTATTTGTAATAAAAAATTGAATACAAGGTTATCAATTCATTTTCAAAGAACCTAACGGGTTACCAGGGCTCTGGCTCGAAGCGCAGGAGAAGGAACTGGGTTGTTTTTAGTCAGTAAGAGTCTAACACTCCCTGCCGCTTCACCCAGGCGGGAGCAGCCATTCGATGATTTTCCCCCTTAAAAAAAATACACAATAGATATGAAAAAGTAAAATGTAAAAAAATTGTGATCGTAAAGCATTTCAGTATGCTGTGATTGTCTGTTCATATTGGTTCCTAGTAATACAACATGATGCAACAGATGTTCTATAGACTATTCGTTACCAATACCAAGGATTTGTGTAATGTTGTTAAAATAACATTTTATACACTAGACGAACTAATTATAAAATGACTTCTATGGCATTTTATATTTTTTCCTATAAAGTTGACACTATTTTTTATATAAATACGAAATACAAAAGAAATGATATATTCCAGATTGTATATAAAAGTATGTATTGTATATAAGAGTATCAGAGTAAAAAATGTTGGTGTACGCTAATACGACATAGATTTGTGTGAAATTATCGTTTTCGTTTATTGCCTTCGATTCGATAGGCTTTTATTTGACTGCTGTATATGATCTTAAACTATAACGTATGAGTATAATTTCAATTTAGTATAAATACCCATACTTATTTCTTTTATATTAGGTATTTATATAAAAAATAGTTTTAACTGTAAAGGAAAAAAATTAATATAAAAGTCAAAATGATAAATTAAGTACGTGATGCGTCTGTTTGTTCCCTTCGCAGTAGTTCACGGCTCTTAACTCTAAAACTTAGCTGGTTGCCGTCCTGACATACGTGGGCAGCGCATTCCACAATAAAATGGATTGGACAAAAAATGAAGAGTGAAGAAAGTCGGTCCGGTGTGTGGGACATTGCAGAAGAAGATTATTAGTAGAACACATCTGTGTTCTAGCAAAACAGCAAGTACTTGATACTTGCTGTGGTTTGCACTTATGAACTGAAAATAGGAGGATGCTAGGAGAAGTGGGGGAATTAAGAAGAGAGGATCAAGTGGTTAACGCTCGTTGTTTCCTGCGCTGCCGTATGGGCAACCACTTTAGTTGCAACCGATATGCAGAGACATGGTCTTATTTACGAAGGTTAAAAACGAATCGAATGTAGTTATTTAGAAGGTGGTCTAGTTTATTGAGGAGATATGCATTCAGGTCGTAGTAACACACATCAGCGTATCAATTATGGGGAAAGCCAAGGACTGAACAAGCATCGCCTTGGTTGAAGACGGAAGGTAGTTTTTTAACTGATACAGGTACTGCAACGTCCACGTGACTCACTGACAGACACTAGTAACATGAGCTCGCCAGGTTAAGTTACCGTCAATGTGCAACCCAAGATTTTTGACATCACTGCTAAATTGAATGACCGCACCGTCAAACCGGACTGGTTGCACAAAGTGCGGGAGCTACGAGTGTACGTCGAGTTCGACGAAGGTGAGGCTTCGTCTAACTGGTGCTATTTAGAACAACCTGGACCAATTGCTGACATTCCTAAAGATACGATAAAACCCAATCCAGTGCATCATGCAAAATGTCGTGATCCATCCCCGCCTTCACATCGCCAATCACTATAAGGAGAGCGGTTACAGTACTGTGACCGGGCCTGAATCCGGGTTGCAGAGGACTTATAAGTGAGTTACGGTATATGTAGTCAGCAAGTTGCTTATGGACACAGGCCTCGAGCACCTTTGACAGGAAGAGAAGAATTGATATACGAAAATGATATAGGATTGGTTATCTTAGGAAGAGGACGGAGATAGGCTTTACGCCACAAGGATGGATATATTCAAGTGCAGAAAACGATTGTTAGATTAGTTAGTCATAGTTTGTACCAGAACTTTTAAACTAATGAGTCCCTTAGGTACTACTTTAACACGGATAAGGGTATGTGAGGTCAAAGTTAACAAATTGTGTCATTATTATTTTATAAGGTTACCTACTTTAAATATTCAAAAGTTTACTTGTCTTGGGAACAAGGTCTGAGCTACAGAGGTCGGTATCTAAAACTGATCAGCCATAGAAGTTCAGTCAATAACAGCAACAAAATCAAAATTTTCTTCGTCTATCTAATCGGGAATGCCCTGCATGGGCTGAACACCGCCGTGCTCAGGTATGTAATTGGCGATGGCGACCTCTCACGTCCGGCCCTAGTGTGGGTCATGATGCGGAGCGAGGGGGATTGGGATGCCGTCTCCTCCTTTTGCGAAGCAGTCATGCTAGCTAAGGAGGAGGCGGGACGCGTGCGGCAGCGAAGCGCTGCCTCCTCGCAACCCAGCCATCGCGAAGGACTCTCCGGGCGTCAGGGATCGCGGGACGATCTTCGGCCACCGTAAGCGCAGGCCTGCGGACGACGAGCATGGGTGGCTCGCCGCAAGACCAGAACCAGACTCTCCAGGTCTCCAGGCTTTGAAGAGTCCACTACGGATGGGGCCCAATAAGGCTGATGCTGATTCGGAGTCGCGGAGAACCCAACGTGTTACCGGGGCTCCGGCTCAAAGTGCAGGAATAGGAACGGGGTGGTTTTTAGTCAGTAGGAGTCTGAGACTCCCTCTCGCCTTACCCAGGCGGGAGAAGCCAATTGATGATTTTCGCCCCTTATAAAAAAGGGTGTGGCGAACTGTGCAATCGCACAGGGCCTCGCTCTTGGAGGGGCCTCGCGAAACAACTCAAGATAATATTTAAAAAATATGGTAAAAAAAATTTAGTCTAAATTAAAACTTTTAACTTTAATTCTCATTTATTAAGAAAATAATGTTAGTTATGACATATTTCATAACGTCAATATAAAAAGCTGTAAGCGTTTTGCAACATTTTTGTATTATTACCATATTAAAAAACGCCGTGCCGGAGCCGTGCTCGAGCCGTGGCGGTGCCGTGCTTATTACCTAGGTGCGTGATGACCTTCATACGTTTCTTAAGCGAAATAATGGCCGATAGTTGGTTTCTCGTCGGAGGTAGGGCAACTGCCAAATACGCCTGGCTGGCTTTAGACTTACCCCCACGTAAGGTCTTTCCTTTAGAGTTTCAGTGCAGGTGATGAAATTGGTGGGGGGTATTGTAGGAGGTACCTGGCTAAGAGTCTGAAATTGTAATCGATTTAGGATAATAGGCTCGATCAATGTTACATTTCTAACAACATAACATAACATCACGCTACCCCGAAGGGGTAGCCAGAAGTGCTCATTTCGGCACTTAATGCCACCACTGTACAATGTAACAATCACTTTTCACTATTTATGTTATGAGTCCTGTGTACTAGGCGGTGAGCCTGTTGCCATATTCTGAGCACATTTTCTGACTCCGTGCTACTACTGAGAATTTTTTCATAACCCAGTTATACTTTGCCCGACGCGGGAATCGAACCCGAGACCTCTTGCCTGGTAGTCGCACTTGCGGCCTCTCGGCCAGAGTGCCGAAAAGTGGATATCTGCTTATATGTACTCTATGTGGGATACTTAAATGCAAGATTTTATTAAATTTATTGAAAGTGTTGCAGTAGCGTGACAATGGTGGGGACCAATAGAGTTCCTATACATATAATTTCGGCTATATTAGTTTGAGGTGGGCCAAGTGAAAAACTACACTAGAGGTAGGTACTCTAGTTGTTAACGCCATCGATAAGGAGTAAGATATGAGAAAATATAAAATGAGAGGGCTGGTTATTTCTACGGACAGTAAATAGGTAACCATTGCCCATCAACGTGGCAATGCTGCCAGTCTTCTGGGCACGTTCCCCAGTGACAGAGATACGGACGAATTCTTTGAAGCCTAATTGACGGAATTTCGTATATTTTTTCGTTGTTTTATTTAGTTTTAGTAAATTTAGACCAATTGGCATGTGTTCCAGACCCAGATGGTTTTAATTAAAAGACCGGCAACGCACCTGTGACTCCTCTGGTGTTGCGGGTGTCCTTGGCCGGCGCTGATCGCTTACCATCAGGTGATCTGTCTGCTCGTTTGCCTCCTATTCCATAAAAAAAGACCATATCCTACCCCTGTTCCTAAATTTCATCTCGATGCCTTCAGTATCTAGTGTAACTAGTAGTAACATCCTTAACATCTTTCGCATTTATAATATTACTAGCTTTTACCCGCGGCTTCGCTGGCGTCACAAAAGGATAAAAAGTAGCTTATATGACTATCCATCGGTTCAACTACCTTCAGTTAAAAAATCACGTTAATTAGTACCTCCGTTCTGCCGTTTAAGACAGGCAAACAAACAAATAGCTTTCCGCTCGCGTGTAATTCGGTTATATCGCGCTATTTACATTTTTCCAATAAGTAGGTAATTCGTTGACTGGTTTTAAATGACATACAACACCATCTATACCAGTACATACAGCGCCATCTATACCAATATTTTTGTTTTTTCTAGGAAATATCAATTTTTCCGGGATAAAAAGTACCCTATTATTTAATCCAGACTTCTAACTTTACGTCTGCAAATTTTCAAAGCAATCGGTCTAGTAGTTACGGTGTGAAGGCGGAACAAACAAACAAACAAACAAACTCAGTTTCCGATTTATAATATAAGTAAGGATATTACTAATATGACATACACGCCTTTTATCCCCGAAGAGGTAGGCAGATGTGCACGGTAGGGCACTTATTGACACTGCACAATGTAAGACCCACTTTCCACTATTTTTGTTATGAGTTTCATTTAATAAGGGTTGAGCCTATTGCCATATACCGGGCACAATTCCAGACACCGTGCTACTACCTATCGATAATGTTTTAAAATACCTAAGTTTCACTATAAGTGATCAGACCGCCTTTGTTTTTTTTATTTTATTTATGTTTGTCATTCACTTTTTCTGTATGTACTATATTATGTACCTATATATACAATAAAGATTATTCCATTCTATTTCGCTCGACCCGGGAATCGGACCCGAGCCCTCTTGCTCGGCAGTCGCACTTGCGACCACTCGGCCAACGAGGCAGTCACTCGGCCAATGAGGTAATATTATATTAGTAGGATTATATTGTAATCTTATTCTATAAATCAAACAACCACTTTATTTATATTCCATTTATGAAGGTACATGTACCTACAATAGCATCGCAACATTGACAATCTACGATCCTACTATCTACATTGAACTTGAACATATTGTTAGCCATGTAAAGATTAAAATTTACGATTTTTATACGATAAAATGTAGGTATTTGATCATCTAATAAAACATCTATTGATTACGTCCACATGAAAAGCCGCTGTAGCTGTGCTTAGTATTAAGTCACATAATACGTATATTAATAACGATTCATAATCAATAAACATTAAAATAACACATTCTAGTATCATGAATTGTACTATAAAACATGGCGGATAAAATGTATCCAAGATCGATGAGTTTGAAAGGAGTTTCACCACGGTTTTTATACAACATGCTGCCAAATACGTACTTAGTTAAAACGTAAATCAAGTTGTCCCTTTCTAGTTTCCTCTCGATTCATATATTGTTCTATCCACCCTGTTTTATCCAGTACCTATTTCATTTTAAATGGCACAAAATAATTTAGAACATTTTTGATACAAGGTAAAAAAAACAACATAAAATTACACATGGTATTTCATATGAGTAGTTACTACTTCATACAAACGTAAATTGGAAATTATTACGTAAAATAATATATTATATACAATAGCGTATTATTTACATGTTACATGGCAAACGAAGGAGTTTGGTCATAATAGAAACAATAATCTAAAGTAATAAGAATTTGCATTTTAGTAAAAAAATTTGAGCTTATTTTGTGGTATGGGGGTGTCGCCCCTCTAAAATCATGTCTTTTTAAGCTTTGCTATACATAAAATGAATAGTATGAACATTTAGTATGTACATTATAATAAACAGCTGCAGGTATAGAGTGGGGAGGTCAACGATGCAAGACGCGGCCATATTCGGCAGTAGAGCCAAGAAAACACTATCTGTGTTATAGAAGAGTTGGTTCACATCTCTAGCTACCGTAATAACAATGGCAAGATCAAATGAAATAACTTACAATAAATGAACTTTGTACCTACACAACATACATGGTATCCAAATGCTTAAGGTAATATTTCGAAAACATCTACTTTAATATGTCTTTTTGTAATATAAGTATGATTATTACTGATTATCCTCTAATTAAAATGTGGAATATAACAACTATGTAAACACATATAACATTTAAAATGTCTTTAAATATTTGCTGCTTATCACTTATACGGATAAGGAATGTATCGGAATAAATGCTGATAGGAAATTTTATGTAACAAAAACACTACACAAAAAATGAGCGAATAGCGGCAGTACCTACGTACTAGAAAATCAATGGCAAATGATATATTAACTCGCTGTGTCCACAATGCATACGAATCTAACTCTACACCCACCGTTCACTGGTTGTAAATTGAAATTAAACTAATTATCACAGTTTAAACTTTAAAATAAATGCGCTAAAATTAAAGATAGCGCTAAAAACCTAAAACATAGCCGTCCTTAAACTAAATTAATAAATAACTTATATTTTTGTTAAGTGCATCAGATGTGCACGTCATAGAAATTATAATAATATACACTTTAAAAATAACAGTACCTTTACATTTTAAGTAAAAAATTAACAAACTGTATTTTTATAACTACAATAAAATTCATATCAGAAATTGTTTCAACGATCTAACACTAGCCATCGAATCAATGGCACAGGTCGTGCACGTGGCACTATTAAGTAAATAAAGTCACTAAACAAGTCAGAGATCAGTGGGATGATTCTGTGTCACAGTTCACACAGTGGTCTCGTTCCGGCGGAGCGGCTGCAGCTCGCGCTGGAGGTCGTTGTAGTACTCATGGTCCGACATGGACTCCTCCTCCACCGAGCGCTGCGGCAGGTACTTGCTGGTGCTTGGCCGTGGCGTCGACTCGCTGCCGCTACCCTCGCTCATACACAGTGACTCCATCGGCACTGGTTCCGTCGGAATTCCCAAAGTCTGTGGTAATACGTTTTCCTCCGACATTAAATACTCAGGGTTGTCAACGCATCGTTTTCCCACAAAACCACTGAATCGCAAGTCCTTAATCCCCTCCTGATTTTCACCACCTTCGCCTATCAAGTCCATGTATGTGGAAGCGTTCTGCGTGTGCTGTGGTGAAGGCATCAAGTAGTCGTCCTCGTCTAGCGGCAGATTTAGCTTTAAATTTCCAACTTGCGCTTCCTTGATTTTCGACATGTTGTCGAAATTAGTTTCGGAGATTTCTGGCCTTCCTTTCATAGGATCACTGCAGTATCTTGAGCTTGAGCTGTCGGACGCGCAGACGCCGTTGTTGTAATAATGTCGAAGCTCAGTGGCCTCGCCGCAAGGGTTTGCTTGGTTGTATCGCAGGAGCTCGTGGTCCCACGTCTCTGGTTTGCTAGCCCCGTCTGGAGTTCCGCAGTCGGTGGTTGGACCGCCGGTGGGCCAAGTAGCCGAAGGTTTCATAGAGTTCTGGTGAACTTCAATGACAGAAATAGTAGTGTTGTTGCTCGGACCAGATTTAAATTTGGGCTGCAAATATTCATCTGCTTCAACTAGAGACTCAGGACCTTCCATTGCCGACGACAGGTTTCTAATTAATTCCTTTTCATCCTGGAATGTGAAACAATAACTGCTTAGTAATTTACAAATACAAATATTGTTTATTTCGTCAATGTAGGTATGTTACAATAGATGGTAGATAATATTATGGTAGTGCGCCACATTGTGTCTGTACAGACATACAAAATTTTTATAGTATGTTCTTAATCTAGTGTGTTTACAGACAATAATCTTCTCTGTCTACATTATGGAACATAATACACCTAATTACAAACTAAATTAATATTAACATCAAGTTTTAATAAAACTATTATTTGTGTTGAAAATTTACTCTATCAGCCGTTACTCAATTAAATTATAATAACATTTAGTAACAATAATATTATTACATTAACTTAAGGAAACAATAAAAATCTTCATTGTTAACATTATAAATTTCCTCTGTCATCAGTCATAAATTCGGTTAAATTATAATAACATTTAGTTATTAAAAACTGCCTTAGTTTTTTTTTGAAAAGAGGTAAGTCTAGTGCTTTGATTTCCTTAGGTAATCTATTATATATTTGTGCAGCAACCCTGAAAATACTCTTACTAAAAAGCAATTATGAGTATATATTTTTTACTTTTTGTTTACTTTGATATAGTTCCAATCGTTTGTAATACGTTTATAAGACAAATTAACTTCTTGATATGCAGTAAGGTTTGTGAATAAAATGCGTAAATATTGTATTATTTAAACTGGACTTAGAATTTAGAATTGAAAACATGATTGTAGATAATTTCTTCAAATTGTAATTATTTTTGAAGGTTTATTTTACAAAATGTTCAATATAAATAGCACTTTATGTACCATTATTAGTAATCTTGTGTGAGTACATTTACGAGTACATATACGTAGAAATAAATATTTACTTATGTAAACGTAAACTTTTATTACCTGGGTAGAGTAGGACGGCAATCGCATGAACTTGTCTCCTGGTATGACCAAGTATCTGCCTGGGTCTCTTGCCATTTCTGCGAATGTATCGGCTAGTTGCTTGAACGTGGGGCGACTATCGGCATCAAGCATCCAGCAGGATACCATTATGCAGTATATATCTAGAGTACAAATGCTGGGTTGTGGCAGTTTCAAACCATTTTCGATCAGTTCAGGAACATTTCGTGCAGATATGGACTCATAAGGACGTGCTCCATAACTTAGAATCTCCCAGATTGTCACGCCAAAAGCCCAGACATCACTCTTATGCGTGAAAATTCTGTGCTGAATGCACTCCAGAGCGAGCCATTTGATTGGCATCTTACCACCAGCTGCCTTATATTCATCTGTGTTCACTTCGAGTAACTTAGCTAATCCGAAATCTGTTATTTTGACACAATTCGGTGTTTGTACAAGTACATTACGGGCAGCAAGGTCCCTGTGGACCAGTCGCTTTTCTTCAAGATAAGACATACCACGAGCTATTTGTGTACACCAATTCAAAAATGCCTTGGATCCAATTTTTTCTTTGTGAGTTCTAACGTAATCAAGTAGACAACCAAGCGGCATCAATTGGGTAATGAGCATCATCTGGTTAGTCATGCATACGGCTAGCAATTGCAGCAAATTGGGATGTTCAACACTAGCCATTATGTAAGCTTCTTCTAAAAACTCTTTGCTAGTGTTAGCACCTGTTCCATCCTTCAAAACTTTGATGGCTACCGGTATCTTTACATTTTCACCTTCTGGTACCCATACGCCCTTGTACACTTTACCAAAAGCTCCAAAACCGAGCATACCACCTCTCCTTAATTCAACTTCTTTTACAATTCTTAATTTGGCCAAGTTTGGTTTGACATTGGTTGGGCGCAGAGGCTCATTGTCTTCGCAACCAGTCAAAACCATTGTCATCTTAACTGCTTCCTTATTTGCTTTGGCTTTTTGTCTGCATGTGTATCCTATTATTCCGAAAATCACTAACAATATACAACCAAGAACCAGAGCTATTACAAGTACTGTGGGAATTTTGGCAGATACCATGCCATTTGGGGTGCCATGAGTATGCGTGGAGCAATAAGCATCGTCTAGTCGATTTAATGAAGAGTCGAAATAAATTTTGTGTGGTACATGTGATGGACAAGTGTCACTGCAATTGAAAAAGTGTTGATTCTCAGGCTCATCCGGCGACAAAAACACTTTTAGATTTTTACATTTAATGCAGTCTGTGGAAGATGTTCCCTTACAACCTTTGCATTCTGGGTGACAAGGTATGCATGACATAGTCTCTTCGTCTGTGAAGTGATCCGCCGGACATTCGTCTTCACACTGGTCTCCTCGTTTATAGCCATTACACAGGGAGCAGACCTGGGTGTGTATTCCAAAACCGGAACACTTTTTGCATCTAGGATGGCATTTACGGCAAACAACTTTTACTTTTCCTTCGAGAGGTTTTACATTACCAACCCATTCATTGTAATATCCATCAGGGCATGGTTCGTTTTCGCTTAGGCAACTTTCAACTGTAGCTTCGACGCTGATAATAGCTTTCTTACAGGAGTTGCATGCACCTTCACCGACGGTATTATTTGGTCCTGTGCATCCATTAAAGCAGTTCCTATGGCATGGTTGGCAAGTAGCATTATCAGAGGTATATCTTGAGTCCGGACATTCGCTAACGCAGTAAGGGCCATCACGTACATGTTTGCAACTTGTACAATTAGCTCGTGTTGGTCCATTACAGCCATCTTTGCATTCTGGGTGACACTCTTTGCAGCTCTTGGGCCCATCATTGTATAACCTGTAATGAGTATAAAATGTGATTGAGTATTTTTTTGGAAATAAATAGAACTGTTGGTAACACTCAGAACCTACGAGCCTCGGAAGTCAAAACTGTTAGGCCTGCCCACACAAACTTTGCCTTTGTTATGTTAATGAGGCTACCAAAATCGATATATAATGTCAGTCGGGAAATATGATGGATGCATTACTTTCATATTATGATCAATAAAATTGTTTCGAGCACATGTATATATTTAATTTGTCACATAGGCAGTTTACGAAATAAAATGATTATTAATACCTAATTAAGTTATCGGGATGTAAAAGAAATTTGAACACTCTTAATAACCAAATTCGCTGTGCAATATTTTTTTTTGCAAAATAATTACGGTTTTGCTATATAAATACCTACCCAGGTACAACACTGCAATTTTGAAGGCATATTTCGTCATACTGGTAGTTTTTACAGGTGAGGCATTGATCTGGTCCAGGGCCCCAACAGCCGTCCGCAGAACATTGAGGATCACACACCAAATTTGCACTTTCTGTTGGAAATGTTTTGGTTAGGAACAAAGCAAAATTCACAAATAAACAAGGGTCTATGGCCAGACTGCGATGACGCTCATCTCAGTGGCATCATAGGGTGAAGATCATCGCGCAGCTGTCTGAGGCAGTTGCTGTTAATGGGTTAGTCTGAACATGTTAAATTGGGGACAATTTAAGAAATCGCTTGTTGATAGGAGGCATCAATATAAAATTTTAATCGCTTAGGCAAAATTATAATATAAATCTTAAATAAATAAACCTAACTTTAAAAGAGGATCCTCTAAACAAAAACTAAGTCGCAAAGCTAACTCACCACAAGTTTCCGGGTCACTATTGTTTTGTATTATTTGCTTGTGATCTTTAGACTTGACAAGCTTGTTCCAGGCAATTTTTTCCGCAAAACATAAATATTTATTTTCCATGATGGCTATAGCACCGGAATTCACTCGTTTTAGTGATTTTAATCCAAGAGACTTCAGTGACGTTTTTACTATGTAGAGAGAAGCAAAGAGGTTTTCAACGACTTGGCGTCCTCCTATCACTTCCAAATTGCGGAAGTAAGAGAGGCTAGTAAAATTAGGATGATGAGCTTGAACATTCAGGTAACCGGTCACTTCCCGCACTGTGCTGAACACCTCTAATTTGTGAGGCTCCATCTTAGCATAATGCTCGCCAAACGAATAATCTGAGTTTATGTGCTGAAATCCCGTGAACGTCATTTCCAAAATCTCAATCGATCCATCTATAATAGTGCAGTCTTTAAAACTGTCGATATTGCCAGAATGTATTGGCTTTTCTGCATGACATGTCTTCGGACAAGTCACATTGCATGGAATACATTCTCCGTTGACTGCAGTCTTATTCGGGGGACAGCTTCTCACGCACGCTCCATTATCCTTTAGAAGATGTTCTGGACAATTGCGAACACAAGTGGCACCGTACGCATATTTTCCATTTGGATTTGGTTCCCAAGAATAAGTTGTAGGATTGTAGATTTGCATCGGCGGGCATTCTTGAGAACATGTACCTTCGTCATAGAAATTTCTGCAGGCAAGACATTGGCTAGGTAGAGGTCCTGTGCAGCCGCCGGCACAAAATGCGTTGCAGCAGTCTCGAGGGTTTCGCCCGAAGCATCGTCCTTGAGCACACTGAGGACTGCATATAGTTTTGGAAAATTTTTGGCAGTTTTCGGGTCCTTCTCCCCAACAACCGGCCTCGCAGCTGCTATCACAACGCGGGCAGTCTCTTTCTGCAGCAGCAAAATCATATACGTACACGTAAGTAGCATTGGCACCCGTAATTATTTCGTCCCAATTTATAGTTTTAACGTGGCACAAGTTATAATTGTTATAAATTCCAACACTTCCTCGCAGCACATCGCGGAGCGCGGGCAACTCAAGAGTGAATGCAGACGACATAGTCACCATAAGAGCAAATTCTTCTTCTCTCACATTCAGTTTGAACAGCGTACGTCCACGGATGATTTGCAACTGCGGTAGTACAATGTGTCGTACGTTCACGTGCGAAATCAGCACGTAGCCGGTCACTTCTCTTATGTATTTCAGGAATGATAAGTCCATAGTTTCGTTTTGCAGCCATGTCAACTCGAGGTTTCCGTCGACATACGTGCAGTTGGTAAATCGGTCGCGAAGATTCCTGTAGTGGGTGTCGCGGTTCGACGGCACCGACATCCGACCATTTGTCCCGATGCATACTGTAAATAGAAAATGAATCTATTAGACATGCGAACCATAAGGCCACAAGTGTTACTTAATAGGGCGTCTATGTATTCGTCTTGTAATATTGACAAAAACAATGTATTTGTATTGGGTCGACGTTCGACAAGTTAGGAACTGAGCTCGTCTAACGAAGAGGCGTTACTGCGTGGGCGGACTCTAAGACGAGTTTCTTCTACTACGTTACAAGTTAAACCGCTATTTGTGATTAATCGATGAATATAGTCTACAATGCCGTTTTGCTTCAGTAAACGAACCTCATGATACGAACCTAACCACGCATGTAAAGCGAACTGTGCGATAATGTACAATTGGCGTCAGTCGCAATGTTTACCGTTTAACAACTTATTTTTACACTAAAAATAATACTGATTTGTTTATTCTGTACTATTTCTGTTCGTATGAACATTGTCAAAATTATTTTATGAAAAAATAAAACGTTGTCTCACACAAGGATTTACTCATGCAATATGGGTACGTTTACAAACACAGATTTATCGAGACATAGCCGTATCGAGATAGTGCCTATACCTCTAGTCGTTTGATTTCTAGACATCCAATGTCCACGTACCGCTTGCATAACTTTACCTGAAACCACAAAACTTGTGAAACGGGTATCATAATTGTTTAGCTTTATACCTCTCTACTTGTTACTTAAGTTCAAAATAGCTTGCAAGTTCTCTGGAGGCTGTTGTCAACAAAGAATAGTTATTGTCGTAGAAACGTATAGAAATATGAAGGTATTCAAGAGGCAAGGTAAATTTTACCTGCTCGTCTGTATAATAGACAGTTTTTTATCAGTCGTGTATACAAGAGTATAATGTTACTGTCATACGATATATTTTTGGCATTTCGACGTTTCGGAATGGGCTGCCGTACACCGCGTTGCCGGCGACTATCTAAATAATACACTTGGCTCTACTGTGTTACCTGCCCTTATCCCATTATATTTGAAGTTTTAAAACTTAAGGATTAGTTTCCGCGTCATGATTTTCATCTTAAATACCGACGTTTGATTGGTTGCAGAGAGATAGAGCGCAGACGTTGATTTACGAGTATTATAAATGACGGCGCCCACATGCAGCCTTTGTCGAAAATAATGTTTTGTTCATCAGAGCTGAGAACAATATTCATGAGTATTTTCTAATAATTTCCTCTAAATTACGAATTTTTATGTCTTAAAGTATTCAAAGGACAATTATAATAAGTATTTTTTTAATTGTTAATAGATTTATGAGTAGGTGTTATGATTTGTATGATATAACAACACGTTTCTACTTCAAATTAAGTGGTTGCCAGTCTGTACAACTACAAGGCACGTACTTACATAATTATACTCACGATGTAAGTACATATTGGTAACCAATTATCTACGTACGTCGCCGTTTACAGAGTCAATATGAATTTAGTTAGAAACTTGAGGTTCGAAGTTGGGTGCGAACATCGTTATGAATATTCCTTCATACAAAAGAGTTTGGGAACATCGTACATGGATTATTTCTTCAACTTTTCTTATTAAAACCAAATTATTCAAACCTGATATAGAGCGACCTGTAAATGACGTCAGATGTATTTATGGAACTAATTTGTAACAGTATGCTACTAAAATCTAGCCAAGGATCATAAGCAAGAATTTATTGTGCACTGGAGCACGTAATACCTCCATACGATTCCTTCGGTTGTTTTAAAACGCATTTGAAGTCACTGTGTTTATTTTAACCGGACTCTGTCAACTTATTTATCAAGTGGTAGCGAAGTGAGTGCAGTTTGAAGATTAAGTGCTAATACAAGTTACCTACATACTCAAGGCAAACGTATTCTCCACTTGTTCTAACGAAGCAAGCTCGACAATAACTTTCTCCATGGTTTCAATTACAATTAGACGATAAAAGATAGTCAACGATAATCATTAAAACTTAAATATGTTTATTTTACTATTGTACCTAAATCTATACCTACAACTAAACTGTCCCGTTTTCAGACCGGTTAACTTATTATAGAAATACCTGGAATCAATTTAACCGTTCAAACTAAACTTAGTCAAACATTTAATTCATACTTTCTAAAATGCCATCCGTTTACACGACAAAATTATGAATAGCTACATATAGTAGAGGTGCCCACAGTTGCACACCTATAGAATTCGGATGGGTTGCCACCCACGTTTGTGTCTGATTCGAGATGTAGCCAACTGTTCGACGAGTGTACATGATTTATGAATTTCATATTTGGTAGTTTAAACTTGCATTCAACGGAGATTACAAAACAACAAACCGCTTTTCGCTGCTCATTGCGTTATATGTGCAAGTGTCATTAAGAGCTTTTAATTTGAATACTGCAATGGAATGCTAAATATTGTTTTTAAACACAAGCATTTTGGATTTTTAATGTGAGCGTTGTAATGTCCGGTCGACCTAGTTCAACGTGTTGATGGCATACGCGATAGTATAGAAATGTGTTCATAGATGCTGAGATATAAAAATGTCATTATTTCATGTTGGGAGCAAACAATAACGCGTGGGTTGTGGTGGACTGCTCAAAATGAGTTCCATGGAAGTCTGTGTTAGCCAGCCACTGACCGATACTCGTACAGTTTTGTAATGATTTTGATTAGAGAATAATGTTATTTAATCCCATTTTTTGGTTTCATAAACTTAGCAGTAGGGTAGATGACTAATTTTTATTTTAATGTCCAACTGGTAGATTATTAAAAACATTAGACGCGTATTTTTAATTTTTTAACGGAAACGAATAGTTTCGACGATATATTGATTTGAATGTCGCGTGACGTCACTTCTATGTACATTTTATACGTAGAAATAACGTTTTAGCCCCCAGTCCTAAACTTTGATTCGTTATATTTAAGTATCATTTTATTATACAACAAAATAAAAAATACGTGTCTAATATTTTTATTATTTAAATGACAGACTAATTACATTTTTAATTTTCATACCCTGTCATCATCCCTATTTTGTTTACGTTCCAGATTTAAATGTGGTAAGATGTAAAAAATGTTTTGCGCCGAAATACTCAACGCCACTCAATATTAAATCGCGCTTAAGTTAGTATAGAATTCTGTTCCTACATTTTTTTTTTGTAAAATGACAGAGATGATGAGATATACTTAAATATCGTGCATATTATTATTATGAAAAAATTGAGTAACCTATCAGTATTCTAGTACTAAATGGCTTAATTAATTGTTCCTCATTTAGTAGTATGAAGGTTTTTGTAAATGCGGATCTACGAATCAATCAACAGTAGCTACACAACAAGGTTAATCAACATTTTATTTTAATCTAAGTGATGTTAATGATGACAACAGATACACATTATCATAGTAATCACTGATAGTGATCTACTGAGTTAAATTTAACTAAGAAGGTATGCAAATGTCGATGATTGCTGTAAACATTAAAATAGCTACTGATAATATAGGTTTTAATAAAGTCAAAGGGATTCATTAATTTAGAACTAATTTCTAATTTTGTATTTGATCACATTGGAAATGTTTCTTGAAGGATCAATCGCTGATTTTATGCACTCAGCACTATCAATGCTGTTTTGCAAGGTTTATAAAAACAAATACTGAATATGTTGTACGATGTTATAACTGTAACTAATGATGTCTACTGAACCCGTGAATAGAAGCTACAACATTTAGAGGCGGTTGGGTTGGGTAGCGATACTTGCGATGTGCAATCCGACCAAGTTGAAGAGGAACGCAGTGTTCGACTCGACTGGTTTGTCTTACTTAAAGCAATGTTTTTATCCAGTTACTTGCATTCTGAAGCATGGAACCAGTTTTGTCCCGCCACCATCTCGTTCTTGTAACACGACCTTTCACTACAATCCATTATTGTACGCTGTACCATGCCGCGCCTGAGTGCAGTTTCCTTTTACGTTTATGAAGAAATGAGGCATTGGATGTCGTGCGTCTCGATATTATATCTGACCGAGGATGGTGTTCGAAATCCGAACCTGAATTTCCACGAAAGTGAAATAAGTTTAACACAATGTTCTGATATTAAGTTGCGACTAATCAGGTATAACTTATGCGCCTGTCTAGTTAGTATTTTCAGTCAGCCTTAATGTGCGTTACACAACTAATGCACTATCGCCATCTCGCTCTGATGATGAGAAAATAGCAATGACAGGTAAGTCTCTAAAGACTTGTCGAGAGTTTATTGAAGACAAGTTTTTATGAATAAGGTTTTGTTTGACTGGGATTTTAAATTTCTGCCGGACAAGAGGGATCTGTTAAAAAGGCTATACTGAAGCCTATTCAGCAATAAGTACCAGGCGCACAGAAGATTTTAAGAGGTCTGCTTGTAATATTACAATATTCGCAAGATCCCAGTACGGCGAATGAAATCCTTTATAATGATTAATTATTACGAGGTTTCAAGTCGATAATCATGTGTTGCGATGTAGACAGAGACAAACTACAATATGTAGATATCCTTGACCCTTTTGTGAATAATACAAAATAATTAACATCAGTACTTAAATAAACTCAATTTACAATTCTCGGGTACTTATTTAAATATTGTTCAATAATTTGTTTTGTTTTAAGTAAAGTAGGCGAAAATCATCGTTTTAAAGATTTCTAAGTATTGTAAAAATAACTGTAGAGGTATTTTAGTTGCTTTTTGAGCATAACGAGTTCAAGAAGACATCATATTTACTAATATGTCAAAACATACAGTTTTTTAAATTTTTGTATCGACTGTACATTCTTAAGGAGTTTATGTTATATCAGTCTACGAATGCTGAGGAGCGAGTACCTATTTCCTTTTATTAATGGCACAAGGCAAAATGTTTTTCAATTGGTCGAATAGAAAACTGTCTCTTCTATTGTCATTATTTAAAAAAAGAAGCCATTTTGGGGACAGTTTTTGAACTTTTTATTCTGAAAAATTATCCTTATGGAATTATCACTTATAATGGAAAACCATTTGTGGAAGGAAGTAACAACAGGTATAAAATTACATGATATTTAATTAAATATTTTGAATAATCATCGCTATTATAGCAACACATTCGCTGTGAAACTAATTAGATAGATTTTCAACTCCAGGAATGAAATTGACTCATTGATTCCGGTTTTTTTTAGTTTCTAAGCTATACTGATATTTGATACCTCGGTGGGTCAAGAAACTCGTCTTGCATAATTTATAACTCGATTAAATCAAATCGAGTTGAAATATCGAATCGTATTTTAATTAATTCCTAGTGCTAATTAAGCTGTGCTTGGACAGGGTGAGAGAATCGTATATTTAATAGACAGTGAATCGCAAGTGCGACAAGGGGTCTCGGGTTTGATTTCCAGGTCGGGTAAAGTATTACTTTAAAAAAAAATTATTAGTAACATGGAGCCTGGTATTGTGCCCGGTATATGGCAATAGACTCGTAACATAAATAGTGATAAGTGGGTGTTACATAGTACAGTGGCATTCAGTGCCGTAATGTACACCTCTGTATACCCCTTCGGAGATAAAAGGCGTGATGTTATGTCACCTATTTAAAATAGTATAAAACAAAGTCGCTATCCGCCATCTGTCTGTCCCTATGTATGCTTAGATCTTTAAAACTACGCAACGGATTTTGATGCGATTTTTTTTAATAGATAGAGTGATTCTTAAGGAAAGTTTATATGTATAATGCAATAATACATGCATATTGCACCCGTGCGAAGCCGGGGAGGGTCGCTAGTATATGACAATATATTGTTATGTTGAGATTAGTTATGCTTAATGACACGTGCATAATTCCATGGAAGTGCGTAGGAGCAATTTATTTCCTACAGTAAGGTCTCTATAAAACGATCGGCCGATCGATACAATACTGGAATTTCCTTGTTGGTGATATTTAATCGTTAATCGATTCATTTTTGTTTCTTTTATTTTATACTTACGTACATACGTAATAGTATTGATTGCCATGTGTTTATTGAGTTTTTTTTATTAAAATTACATTTTGAATGCAATTGGCATGTACAATGTATTTATTATTGGGTTCATGGATTTTTAGTAGTTTTAGTTTCATAGTTTGTAGGTACCTATCTATATATATAAACAACGTTGAACTGCAAATTACCATCAACTTAAGTCTTTCCAACATTATTTTCTTAAATTGATTCCTTCTTATAAACCCAATAGTATGCAGATGTAAGAGTGACATGCAAATAAATATAAATAAAATATTATTTTTTAAACTGCAAAGTTGGCAAAGTGGAGCAACTTTGGCACGTGGTCCTAATAATAGAGCGGCACCTAATGATCGGGTGTCAACTTCAGCAAGCCCTAACGTAAAACCACTGTAATTGTTAAACAATCTTCGCATATATAGTTGTTAAAAAGAAATACGTTAGGATAGCCTACGCTAAGCCAAGCTTTTTCATAATATTGCAATATTTAATATAATATCAAGATTACACGAAATTTGATTGTAATACCTTATAAAATATGGATTAAAGCAAATCGATTCCATTTTCAATCGCATTACTGGTCTCTTTGTACCATAAAGCAGGGAGGAAAACCATAAACTAGTCAAGTCATAATAAACCTCAAAGATCATAGAAGTTATGGCGGAGGCCATTATAAAGTATCTAATGTAACTAATTGACATTGATTATAAAAACATTAAGAGATTTTGCTAGGTAGAGAACACGGATAGAGGATGTGACGCATTTTAATGTTTAGTATTACATATATTTGTTGTCCTACTCTAAATTCAAACACCAGACAGAGACGGAGATACGTTTCTATTTGGTACAGCCATATTGGATACCTTATTTTATAGTCTGTGACGTTAAGTTTAATTCAATTTTGCCGCGAATTTCGTTAATATCTTTTGATTAGGACTAACTATGTTTTGATTATTTTTGGCCTAAATGTTAGGATTACTTTGATTTTAACCATACATATTTTTATGTGTAAAATTATTACGACGTTACCAATAAACTTCGAAGCATTAGTGATTGAGAAAGACAAGAATATTTTCCTATATGTAAGTATCATTCAGTGCATCTCTATGTATATGAAATGCAATACAGGTCATATAGATCTTTCAAGTTACTACATTATTTTCGCTGCACGATATGACAAAGGCGAGTCAGCGCTCAAACGTTGATTTCTTTCATATGTAGATGAGCTACAGATTTGTAATTCAAAAGCAGAGGCCACAGAAAGGACCACCCTGTCATTTTCATGAGTAAGAAGTACTTATGTTGTTTTAAGGACCGATGACAGTAAGAACTAATTGTCAATCATATCAATTCTACATTATTCTCGCTTGATAAAATATTCATTAGATAAAATGTCTTCTAAACACATTAAATGTCAAACAAGACACCATAATTAGTCACTAATTGTTTGTTAAATAAATAAATATTAGTACAAACATGCCAAGTCATCAGTGTCAACGAAGATCAGTATTAGTTGAGAAATATCCGCGTTCTACTTTAGCCTCGCATTTTCCACTTCATTTTCAATATAATACAAACAATTAGACAAAGCATACATTTGAATTTTTGCTAATAACAAAACAGAACGTGCTCAGTTGGTGTTGTATTTGACTAGTAGAACAAATGAGTACCGTTGACATACCTACGTTAATATTAGTTTGAAAATCGTTGTTTCTTGTAAAACCAAGTATTTCGACATGCCAAAATGAAAGTATGTATGTGGTTTATTAACCAATTCTTATTAATTGTGACTGCGTGTTTGTCAGCGAATTGTTATTACAACAGAAATTATTTGAAAATCGAATTAACACGTTTTATGGCCAGTGTAGCAAGGTCGTCGGTGAACGTTAATTCAATTTTTGGAGGGAAACAAAATAGAATACGTTTGAAAAGTTTTTAAATCACAGAGTAACATGTTTATAGAGTGCTAATGTCGATGGACGTTTGACATGGACATTCATAACGGTAAACCGCACATATAAATGGTAAAATTAATTAGAACGGAACGTATCACTAAAATTACATATTTTATGAACGAGTTTGCAATAGACTTTTAAGTATTATCAGGTATATTTTAATGTTGTGTGTAATTAACGATAATTTGATACAACTTTGATATTGTGTGAATCGTGCTTCCATAGGAATTTGTTGCACGATGCCCTAAATGATATCTTGGTTTTTGGTACAAGTGCACATAAAAGTCTTTAAGTAGCTTAATCCTTTGTCCGATCTGTCAATTGTCGTCCAAAACTGAAGTGAGCACTCGAGTGCTTAACTTCAAGGTTTTTTTTAAACAGTTTGAAGTACATAATAATAATACTAAACAATGGAGCTTTGAATGCCTTCGCCGTAAACCAACGGATTTCTAAAACAATTGATCAAAACAAGTTTAAAGTTACTAATCATTTAATGTGCCACAAATCGTAGTATGGGTACGGGTATGGACTGTACTTTTAATAATATTATGAAAGGAAATTAGTACTTGTAAGTAGAAGTTCTGGCTTTGGCATTTTCTGGACATTTGTTTAGCGGATTGTCTGTTTTGATACGATTGTTAATTGATCATGATTTAAGTTTTACTTGAAAAATACTTCTTATTTACCTATGTTTACTTTACTTAAGTTTACAATTCTAATATATTCACAACTTTGGCATTTTACGTCTTAGAATAACCAAAACGGTCCCATTGGTTCATGGCATTCCGTCCGTCTGTGACAGGCACACAAAAGCTGCAACCACTGCGCACTGGCTCGCAAATTGAAGCGTTTCACAATGCGTGCACCTTGCCTTTCATCCTGTGGGATATTGTCGCGCGTCCCTTCCGATGCTCTCGGAAAACTTCGTCACACAAAATGAAATTTAATTGTTCGTACACGCAGCCTCTTAAGGCCAGTTCAGTGTACCGTCAAGCAGCTTTCCGCGCTATATAAGGCTACGTTTGTTGGTTCGAGATAAGCTTTGTTTATTTTATTCCAGCGATTAGCTTGTACCGCGTCTTTATTTCTACAGTTTTATAGAGTTATTTTACGGTCACTGCATGGTTTACTACTAGGTTACAAATTTGTATCACATTTTCAACTATATCACAGTACACATTGGCATTAAGTGATGGTTTGAAACTTTGAAAGCGCCGTGGGCGGCACAGCACTTACTTTTTCCTTTAACGAATTCCGAATGTTTGTGTCGTGAGGGAGCGTGGTGTTGTCGTCCGTGTCCGCGGGAGGCGGCCGGGGTCCCGACTGCGATCAGGCACAGGCACCACAACAAGGCACGCGCAGCGACCATGCTGCGACATCACTCGCGAAGCTACGCACACGACCGGCCGGCACTAACTTCCATCGTGTACTGGCCCGCCCGGTTTGTGGAGCCTCGCGCTGCGCGGGCGCACCCACAGACTCAAACCTCTACAGAACAGCCAACTAGCAAGCCTTTGGGCGGGAAAAGTTTGTAAACGATTCTTTCGTCTAAATATTGAAACTCGCGCAGTCTGTATAGTGTGCAAAATGAACTTAAACTTAGTCCACGACGAAACTAAACCTTCAAATCCACACGGTGACAAATTAGCGCATTAGCAAATTAGACATTGGTAAAATAATAAATCTACAATGTTTTTAAAGATTCAATTAAAAGGGTCACTATCACTAATCACTTGGTTGCACTAAGTTCACAGTTGTCACTAGGACTACGTTGGGCACTGTGCGTTTCGTTTGCCGTGTCTAATAGTTATGGCAGTCTACCTCTGCCCTCTCACAAGCACAGGTAAACGTCGAGAAGGACGCAGGTATGCGTCGCACTCGACACGGTGTAGAAAAAAGCCACGTAACAAAAGTTTTTAATAACGCATTGTGCTCACCTAGCAGAGATACGGACTTACGAACAAATTGTACTAGTTGAGTAGTGGAGTAGTGGACGGCCGAAAACGTAACTTTTTGACGTATCATGCACCTTTTTTTAGTTGGATTTGGTAATTAAAGTCTGTGATGTGTTCGATTTTTTATCAGTTTTAAGTAGATGCAGCTTTGTTCGGCTTATCTTTTGTAGCTTCGAGGGTACTGTATCTGCTGTATTATGAAATGAACTACCTAATCCTGTATTACATTGGAGGTTTTTTATTAATATCATTTATGTTTTATTGTACCTACTACTTCCCTTTGTGAAAACACTTTCCTGAGAATCAGGGTTGTCAGTTAATATTGTGCATTGAAGTTTGAGTTTTAATATTATTCTCATGTTTTAAGTTGGTGCCGCCCCTTACGCTAGTTCAACTCGACCAGTGACTAATCTTACAGGTTCTTGTAGCACTATAATCGTTACCGTTGCCCAACGAACGTAACTAGGCAACGTTTACTATCGAATGCTTATTTATAATCCACTTTATAAGGTACAGGTAATGTGTTTAGATGATTAAAAACATATAGGTATGACAATATCACCTCAAATTACTATTTTGTGTGACGTATTCAATCATCACCCCTTTATTGCCTTTTATCCTTACTAATATTATAAATCGGAAAGTTAGTTTGTTTGTTTGTTTGTTTGTTTGTTCCGACTTCATGCCGTAACTACTAAACCGATTGCATTGAATTTTTGCAGACGTAAAGTTAGTAGTCTGGATTAAATAATAGGGTACTTTTTATCCCGAATAAATTTGATATTCCCGAGGGAAAACAAAAGTATTGGTATAGATGGCATTATATGTATTGGTATATGTCACATAGACTACTTTTTATCCTTTAAAAGGGTAAAAGGTAAGGATAAAAGCTAGTAAATCATATAAAATGGGATTGGCGAAAATTTTCGTCAAATTTCATATTAATAGTACATAGTTACAATTCGTTGTCTGATTGCTCTTAGCTTTGAATACCTTAATAAAATTAGTATTTTGTAAAAAGGTATGAAATGGTTAGTCTTATATCCAAATTGTTGGCATTTAAAGCCCAAAGCTTGAGCTTGCATTCGTTTTGTGCTACCACAAAATATACCTTATTAACCTATACTCTAAGATTATCCTGTAACCGTTTAATTAATAAATTACTTATCGATATACGCGTACAGGTTCTTTTCCCCCTCAGGCCGCATACACAAATGTAGGTCAGACAGAATACATATAAATATGTATATCATTTGACTAGTTAGATCTATTATAAAAACTCACTTAAACTAAATATGGTATAAATCATACTATCATCAGTATTATCCTTCTAAGATATAGTGTATTTAAATATGTTTATGTTTTAATAAAACCTTTGATTAAGAGATTACACCCCTTACGTATATCCTGCCTGCTCAATTTTCTCTGACGCCACAACAGAGATGCTCAATCTTTAGTACCTTTATTACTAGTACTATTACAGCAAGATGTAAACAGCCTAGTTAGCCATCGTCCATCTCAGACGTAACGGTTGAGAACACCTGACAAAATGATTACACGCATTTCTTAAAAGACAAATATTATCATCTAGATACAATTATATCTTTTATTTTAATAACCAGTTCGTTTTTATGTAAAGCAATATTTCTTTTAATATCTTGTTTCGTTTTTTTGTGCTCTTATATACATATATCTAACGTTTTATATGTAATGGCGATTGTAAAATAGAGCTTTATGAGTAATACGAGTACGAGTTGTTGTTACTGGTTTATTATATAGCATAACATACCATCACATTATTTATTTCCGAAAATGTTAAGTTCGTAATATAAATAAGTTTAGTAAGTTAAAATTTTCCGGATTAGGGATCGAACTAAGAATAGAAAATTCCAATTTGCAACTACACCATAACCAGCCATAAATATGCAATAAATATATTCTCGTGTAAAATTAATATATTTACTATCTACAATTGGAATCAAAACCAATTTTCTCATATTGAAAATAGGTTTTAGTATCGTATTAGTAATTAAACGTCAAGGTTGAACGTAAATGCAAGTAGTTACCAGTGTCAGTTATTTATGGGCGTACTTAGTCCGAACAGATATAGTTTAGGCTGTATAGTATTAATATATATGTATAGAAGATCAATAAATATAGCGATACATAAAAACAATAGTCGTTTTAAAGACCTGTGTTGTTGTTAATCCTTAAATAATTGTTGGCGGCCTTGTATTATACGCGAAACGTAATAATATAACCCCAAAAAAGTCTAGAGGTTCGTATAAAACTCAAAACATGACGTATAAAAATAAACTCAAAGTCGCTAATACCTTGGCAAACATAATAAACGGCTAGTGGACATTAATATACACTATTTATAGTGTAAATTATCAATTATGTTATTTACAAACTTAGATTATATTGTGGACATAGATAGCAGGCGCGCGTTGAACTCTTTACGAAAGTCGAGATCTAGCCGTCACCACGGTAGTCTTACATAGCGAACGACGCAACCATGTCGCGTCGTCCCACATCCATCGACGGTTACATACGAATGATATTAACTGCCACCGCTTCCCAGCGTTCGATGTATGTGAATCTAGAAAGTTGTCGTGTATAACGGATTCGCGGAATAAATGTTTGGTCAGTCGTTAAGCCGTAGCGGGTTCACCTCACATTCCTGAACTATAGAGCCTTCACGGTCTAGAATGCTCTTACAAATATCTTCTGTGTGTAGTCTCGATATATCGATGATATTGGTTTCTTCTTATTCGGTTAAGATTATTCAATTGATATCAACCACTGCTTCCCGCTAATTAGATGCTACATTGATGTTTTTAATTATTTGGATGACGCGTGTAGAATTACATTAAAAGTTAATATGTTTATACCTTGAACATTTAATATTTATTTTGTTATTTACCTTGCGTCATGAGAAAATAAACTTCAAACTTTAAAGCAACCTGGTTAGCCATGATGAGATGCAAGCATTCTAAAATTGCAAATATATGTAGTAGTTAGTCTGACATGTTCAGCTGACTACGGACCTCGAGGCTTCACGTGTGTTGACTGGACTTACAACTTCAGTTCCTACTTCCCAGTGAGAAACCACAAACGTGTATTCACCTCCACTATCTCTTGGATTACTAGAGCATAAGAGTTAATATCGTCTGAATAATCACCGTGTGTTGGTAACATGGCCCTTATGCTACGCCTACGAGTAAGCCTCGTCAAGCTGTCAATAAAATATCGGTTAAACGACATAAAATGAAGCGTGTCTCATGTAAATTGTTACTATTATTGGCTACAAAAGAAATACGAGTAAATTGGTCATCTGGCGGATCATGAGCAGTCAACCGTGCTCCCAACTTACTGACAGCCTCTTATCTTGTCCACCTGAAGAAGTCATTATGTATTTTCCAAGTTTCATTCGAGCTAAGTATCGCGCAAAAGTATTTCTACTAAAGCACGTGTTCAAATTGTCATTTGATGGCTTCTGCCTGCCATAATACGTCGATGCAAAACCAAACTATATCGTATAAGATGTAGTTAAGTTAAACACGAGTTTCGATACTACGCCATTTTATTCCGAACTCGGCAAACAAAACATTATTAAGAATAACAAGTAAAGCACGGGTCGCGGGTTCTACCTGCGAGCACAATAGTGAAATCAAAGCGCCATTGTGGCCGTACAATGCAGTCAAGTGGTTGGAGTGGCTTTGTTGGTACCGTCCACTTAAAGTGCCTGCTGAATCCATAAAAAAATTAGGCAGTTTGCTTTTGGCTGCCTTAGATAGAGATAGAAGATTGTACTAGTGTTTTTTTCTTTTCCATGATCTGGCTTTAAGCTCATGAGTTGTTAGACCTTATCAAATAATGTTGGCGCCGGTCGCAGTCTCTTTGTTGAGGACAGGCTCGCATTGCACTAGAATGTTGAGAGGCAAGAATGCATTGAGTGGAAAGTGCTCCTCCATAGAAGCTGTTTGGAATGTAGCAAGACCTAGAATAGTCAAAAATGTTGGTGTATTAAACTAGTTATTTAGAGACAGGTATGCCGAATGATTTATTCACATACTAAAAATACGGTAAAAGAAAAGCCGCAGTAAAAATTTTATAATGAACCAATGAGTCAGTTCCATTCGTTAACGAAACTGCTCTCACATTTGAAATTCTTAAGAAGTGCCTCAGTACCAAGGGTTCATATTAATTAATTGTTTTTATTACCTAAGTCCAAATTGCTATGTTAACACGTATGTTATAAACAAAATGGGTAGTTTGTATTCAATACGGACTGTGAGAAGGGGAACTACCGAAATAGTCTTGGTCAACAGGTCTTTTCGGGTGGTCTTTGTACATTTTGCTTGTTCTAAATACCTATAGGAATGTTTACGCAACTAAGTCATTTAGGTAG